CGTTGACTGTGACACCTTGTTGGATCAACTACTAGAAAACCAAACGAAAATGGTCGCTGGGAACTTCTTTGAACAGACTGCCTAGAAAAATGTCATCGTGGTAGGAGTAACTGACATCTTGCATGAGGCGTTGAAACTTTTAAGCACTGTTGCACAGTCCTTAAGGTATATCGAAATACTCGAAAAAACTGAACGGAAAGTTGACGGTTGTTTTGGCGATGTCCTTTTCTTCTATAGGTATTTGGTAATATGCTCGAAGCAGATCGATCTTACTGAAGGTTATCTTAACTGTAGGACATGCGGTGTGATCCTGCATGTTTGGGATGGGGTATCTGTCTGTAGCGGCTAGCATATTATGTGGGCAGTAGTCATCGCAAGAGCACCGGTCACCAGGTTTTTTTAAGGACCATCTGCATTGTGGAGGACCAAGGGTTGTCTGAAGGACGGGCTAATCAAAGTTTAAACATGCAATCAAACCACGCGTCTGATACCTTAAGCTTGTCGGGTGGGCGTCGGCGTGGACATGCTGATAAGGGTATGCCATTCGTCCAAATGTGGGGAGTGACGTCGGATGGCACGAACGGAGCTGCGTTCATTGACTTAACGAAGTTAGAGTACTGAGAGATAGGTCGACGCCGTTTGTCGAGGTCTAAGGAAAGGCCTAAACCTGGGTGATAGATGTGTTGTCGGCGTTGATGTCAAGCAGACTAGGTCTCGTTGCAGTATCGACTATCAACTGGCATTTTGCATCGATCAAAATGTTGAAATGACTAACGAAGTCTAAGTCGATTATGGCAAATGAGACTGCGGCGACGGTGAATGTCCAATGGTAGGTTCGCCGAAATCAGCTTCAGTGGAAGTGGCCGATGACCATACGTACCTATCAGTGTGCCACTAGCGACACTTGAGCTTATTGGCAAAGCTGTCGAATCATCTGGGATATGGGATGATGCTGACTTTCGTTCTGGTATGAACGAGGGACCGGGTCCCGGTGTCATAATCCCTAACGTAGATGAGGCAAAATTGAACTTTGGCGACATCGTTAGTCACAAGTAAGTGCCGGCCTGGAAATTTCCTTCAGCGGGGAGTACTTAGCTGCTGGCAATTGCGCACCTTGCTGCCAAACTGCGAATGTTATAAAGAGTGAGCTGGTGCCTAGCGCTCTGGGAGACGATGCGACAATCTAGTACGGGTATGGTGCTTGCCATCATGCTCCATGCAGAATGTAGCTGCAAAGTTAGAACACCAGCAGGTTTAATAATAGGTACAAACCTAGTGTTACCAACGGTTTCTAAATTCTGTTTAGTTTAGATAACTGCTCTGACTCAACATCCTGTTTTGACAAATCACGTCTTTGCAGCGTCATACTCATCCACCGGGTTAGCAAGAAATTCACGAATTGTGGCGTTATACTACTTCGGCAGCATCCCGTAATTTTTTAATACTTTTCGGATTCCGAACACAAACTCTAGTGCTTGATGAACACTAATTCGTCCAACTGATCCAAATAAGTTTATGCGAATTGAAGGCTAGCATGACAACGTCGCTTTAATGATATTCATGTTTGGGTCTCGATTCTTCGGAATTCTGATGCGCTACCGAGGCCACTTTGCTGCAATTCTCAAATACAGTGTTATTCATACAAAAGCAGCTGGTTCAGGAGCGTGGTACTTTTCTCTCCGGTTTGGCGACTTGCGTCATTCAAACTGAGCCAAATGCAAAAGTCGTCAGATAAATTACTCAATTTCTTAAGTTCTGGATGTGATTGATGCACGTATAAAGGTTTGTGCTTGCTTGAGATTCCTCAGTGTCTACCTAACTTAAACTCTATGTTGTTCCATCTCGCTCCACCAAACGGTGATCTCTTACGCTGCAAAATTCACCACTTTATTTCGTTAACTTAGTGATGAGTTTGATATTTTTGATCCTCTTTAGAACCATGGAAGACCATCACTTTCACACTTGGTGCTGTGGTGGCTTTTCGCTTCAGTTAAATGTGTAACCGGCATCACCACCGTGCTGGCCCGGTGCGACAATCTCAATTCCATAGCGCAGTAGTTCCATCGCGACCAATGCAGTACGTTGTTCGCAACGTTCATCTGCCTTCCGGTTGAGTAACATGGGCAGGTTCCATTAGCAACATCACAATTACACATAAGTTGAAGGTGTGAAACACAGTTCAACAATTGTGCCACAGCACCCTTTGTTGAGTACTTTTTACGGAAGCATACCTTTGCGACGAGTACTCGCTCGTGTGGTGATCTGGGGTGGAGCAAGAAGTAGGTTTGATAAACGGAAGACTAGGATGGGAAATTTTATACTTAAAGAATAAAGCGGGGAGGTGTGAATGATAACATGTTTTCTATTATCGACCCCACTGTAGGCAGCAGATAGGACGACTCTTTTCGCTCCCACACCACTGCGTTACTGCCGATACAGCATAACATTATCAGTATTGGTGGGATTAATGGTTTGGGCATGGAGTGATGTACAGCTAGGTCCTTCACACCTGAACAGAAGAACGACTTGAGTCCACAGCCAATGCCTACAATAAACTTTACGACGAATAGCAGCGGGAAATGCGCCATGAGTCGAACGACACACGCGAACTTGTGTGTGTTTTGGCTCTTACCTAGAAAAAGGCGTAACCAAACTCCTATTCAGCGGTCGCCACGAGAAGGCATCTAAGGCATGAATCCCCGGTACAATCTAAACAACAGCGGGTCAATAATCTGTCAGGAACGCTGCACCACGAGCCTTGGCGAAACATGAGCTATTCTACTATATATATATATATATATATATATATATATATATATATATATATATATATATATATATATATATATATATATATATATATATATGTAAAGCTGAGGTTGATGTTGCATTCATGATTCTTTTTCATTGCAGTTGGGTTACAACAATTTGCAATTAAACGAGCTTTTGAATCCGAATAAAAGTCATTGCACATTATTTGGTTTGGTCAAAACGGTTATTCTGCTGCATATTATGGGTCAACACCGCGTGGTTGCTTTCCCACAAATTCTATGTTGATTTTTTGACATCCCAAGCGTGGGTGGCTTGTTGTGAATGTTGACAGGGTGCCCACCACTCTAACACCATCCACCTCGGTTACTGTCTATAGGAGACTATGAATCGTTGCTGGGTGGGGACGGAGTGCACGGTCCTCACGGCCGTGCTAAGCTCACTGGTTCCATCCAGTGTGGAGTGGACTACGGCCCAGCCATCGCCTTGTGTACGTCTGGTACGCGTGTTTCCCTGATAGCTAGACAGGAATACTGCTGATGTGCATGCTTAAGAGGTGTGGGTCGGGTCGACTCGGTTGATGAAACGTGGCTCCCATCCATATGCTTCCCGGTCTTATTCCTTCGGGTTTACACTGAATGTGGGTGTTACAGCGCAAGTGACCCATGGTCCGTTAGTAGGCGCAGATGTCCTGTGACTGTCCTATGAAGAGCACAGTGAAAGGCAACTCCGGAACCTGATGACGCAAACCATAAATAGGCATCAGTCTAAGCAGTAGAGATGGATCCATTTATGAATCATGGAAACCGAGCAGCAGTACAATGTAAGCAGTAGGAAAAGGTTTCATCTACTGTCCGTTCTTCCCACGCCATTTTCTTACTTTCCCATTTTTAACATAAATTAAGCCAATTCTTTATACATTTTTCCGCGGACTCCGGGTTTCAACCATGCCTTCAAGCGTGTCAGTCCACTGGCTTTTCTCATTCTTGAATCCCCATTTAAGAAGACATACAAATCTAACGTGGCTAGTCGTGATGTTAGCAATTTCTGCCTCCAAGTAGCTTGACGACCACCATGCGGTTGCTTTCATCTCACTCCTACAATAGCCAATAGAGCGCGGCATGGGAAACCTTCAGTAGACAGGCGTAAGACGTGAGCGAGTCATTACAACCGGTAAAAAGTCTGCTTCTCGAATGAAGTACTCACATTTCACTGGAAGCTACGCTTAACGTCAGCACTGTACACTCGGTTTTATCACCAGACACGAGCAAACCTCCTCAAACACTCATCGTCGAACACGGATAGATGGCGCATGTAACGTAAGCGAAAGAGCCAGGACTCCCTTGCATACAACAACGGAAGTGCAAGATGGGGACGTCCTGGCGGCAATACGAGTGTCTCAGGTTGAACAATACTGACCGGTCTTTAGCGCTGCGGCGCGAAACGTCCTTTCTGCTAGTGCTACCAGTAAAACTACAGCTCCCTGGGTGGAGGAAACTATCTGCATATTTGAACTTTGCACTTTTGAGGGGTGTAATAATATCACAACGCGGTGCACTTATCATAATGCTCATTGAAACGCTACTGTGTGCGCTTGTACTGAAGCCGTACAGCTTTACTGCTATCAGCTATCTTAACTTGCTAAGCAAAGTATGGAGAACTTACTCAGGTTACCTATATTTAAAAAAGGACAGCTTCTTTTATTTTTATTCTTCGTATCAGCAAGAACGTCACCACACTTATCTTGTCATAGTCCAGTGTTTCACTCTGCCATAGCGCAGTAGACTTGCACTGCCGTACAATTTACCCAAAGCTTTCCAGTTATCTGATGGGTGCACTGGAACGAACAAATCACAATTACAAACGATACCCGTGAAGCTTTATGGCTTATTTGCAAAGGTGTCAGTCGGTAACCGCACAGTCATAATCTCTATCCTCATAAGCGGACAAATGGCCTACAGAGCCCGAATAAGCTCCAGACTGGTACAGGATAGCAAAGTTGAAGCGACCGAGATCAAGAACGCTTTTGATCTGCAACAACTCAGGTGCTTGTACCCATAGTGGTGCATTTCAATTTTAACCTCACTTTCTAATGTGTATCGCTAGAGAAAACGTATCAGATGCTTCCTAACACTCCGTGGCATTTGGTAACAAATTATTTTCCCTTGCTAACTTATTTTACAATAATATCAACGTAATGCGTTCACTATACTTTGCTTAAACTTCAGGCCATGGATAACGATCTGGAGGTCAGCTCGATCACCTGGAATGAGGTAAGAAAGCACACATTCCTGCATGACCGGTGGATGGTGATCGATAACAAAGTCTATGACGTAACAAAATGGCAACATCGCCACCCCGGTGGTAGAAAAGTTTTGTCCCATTTTGAAGGCCAAGATGCCACCGTGAGTGTCACCTATTTAATCACATCCTTATCCACAGGAGGCATTTCTCGCCTTTCACAAAAATCCTACTCAAATTCAAAAATATTTAAAGTCAATGTATGTTGGAGAGCTTGATCAGTTTGAATTCGATGATAATGAGAAAGAGGAGATGAAAAAACGAATGGCCTATGTGAAAGATTTTGAAATGCTACGCCAGAAAATGCACAAGTTGGTATGTGGCGTCTGCGTTCATATGCTTTTCTATGTTATTCCATGCTATGATATATGGCTGATATGTCTGATGGGAAAATGATTTTTTGCACTTTCTCGGCTAGTCTATACTGCAGATGGCCGATGTATAGAATATCCGGTCTGTTTGGATGCTCCAAAACCTAAAAGTGTTCATACATGATCAATTGAAGCTTAGTATAAACGAAGCTAGAAAGGAACGGCAATCCAGCAAGAGGCCAAATGTCATGAGTACTACGTTCTTCGGTCATACCTAGTAACACTTTTCTCACAGTAAAGATGGCAAAAAGACTTTGAAGTGCTCCATAACTACAGTCATGTCACTTGGTCCGAAAGTCTCCCATCCAAAACCAACTGGGTCCATATCTCACCTTATGGTGGCAAAAGGGTTAGAAGTGGCTTCACGAACATTACAAATGGGCAGATTACTAACAACCCATTGCGCACTACCATGTTATTTCATCCAAACTGGTGTAGAGCACATGGCTAATTGAATGCGTTTCACAACACCGATAGGTCCACGACCGTAGTTGCCTTCACTTCGGCTATTAATACAGTCGACAACCGGAGGACCATCATTTATCCACTTTTTAGGCTTTATCAAGAGCGCAGCTCTCAAGTTCATCTGCATATAATGTTTGCTACAGCGTGATTCCAGTGATGCTTTGTCTGCACGATAAAGGTGCAGAGGATTTTTAGGCGTTTGTTAACTTATAATGGGTTCTTTTAGGTGTACGGTCGAATGTTGTGCCATTTTGCGTTAAAAGACATTGTAATCGCAACCCCGATGTCTAGATAATACATCATGGTTGATCGTCTTAATTTATAAAAGGCTTATGATATTATCCTTTAGTTAAAATGGTATGTATTGTGCTTCTCAGCTGATGGCACTGAAATTTTTAAGTCGTTAGTTTGTTTTACACATCCAAATTGTAGATCATCTCGTTTCACTGTTGGTTCATTTCATTCCGTTTCCCCTGAGGAGAAACTTTATAACAGCAGAGTATCGCGAATGTCAAGTGATTTTTTTAGAGTAAGGTTTCACCCGAAAGCCACAGTTTTCCTACTTGTGCCAAATATTGGTTACAGACATCTGGAACCATAAGCCATTCTCCCCATGCTTCATCGAACGGATCAGTAGATAAAAAGCATTCGGCAAACCCTAGGTGCTGTACAGACCGCCGAACCATGCTACACGGTTACTGTCGCAATTTCCCTTGCAATGTGTAGAGGAGAACAACTACTCCAGCTCCACGGTCTACTAACTCAGAGCGTTAGCATGTACCCAACATGTGCAGATAGCATCAGCGTAAGTACGGACTCGTGTAGTGATTGCGGAATCTTCTCAGTTCGTCCACCATACACGATGCTCAGTAAGAAGCATAAACGCACTGCGGTTGTTAAAGTAAACTGATTATTTTTTCTGCTTTTCTAGGGTACATGATACAGACGAGTCACGAAATGAACAGACAAGTGTCAGTGTTTTTAAACACACTAGTCCTGTGTTCCAACGATTGCGGTGCATCTCATGCAATGAAGCGATGCTAAATGGGGTACATAATCGCAGACGATACTATCTTCTGACTGCAATAGAGGCAGTAGTACAGTACACAGCTCTCTTAGGGCGGATAACATTCGACCGCAAGCAAGGTAGGTAGTAACCATGCACCTGTCCAAACCATTTGCTGGGTTTTCCAGCGCTGTCTAGACGGGGACATAGTCCTGTCAAAATGGAAACAGTATCATTACCCGTATTCGCAAGGGAGGAAGTAAATCGGAGACTGTCAATTACTATCCGGTAACACTTCTGCTTGCCAAGCTCATGGGAACGATCATTGCAGTTGCACTGATAGGTTACCTGGAAAGTTTTAGTACGATCTCACCGGAGCAGCACGATCAGTATCACTCATACACCTCGAAGATGTGGATAACACCCAACAGCTGGACTGAAGCAGTTGACGAGGTGACAGGAACCGATATCATCTAGCCTTTTGCAAAAGCGTTCAACACTTGAACCACTGTACTCAGCTTTACAAGCTTCAGAACTATGGCATCGGAAATCCAGTATTAAAATGGATTGGTAACTTTCCCAGCGAACCTCAACTGAAGGTTAGACTTCGAACACGTTTGTCCGACACAGTCCGACTCAAGTGGGTATTTCTAGTGAATCACGAAAACGCGCGACCTGAGCGGCATCAAACATACAGCAACAGTAATTGCTGTTGAGGGCACATGGTTAACTTGTGGTTCTTGATCTCGCTGCTTTTCTCTCTTTTGATCACAAGAGTTGGGAGCAGGAGCATTTCACCTTGCACGACGCGTACCAATTTTCCTAGCATACAGAATAGGAGTGAAAAGACTCCAAAAAGCTGTATTAGATGTTGTGTATAGGGCCAGTTGTGGGCTCCTTTGCCACTACCGAACACGATCTGCTGTTCAGTGGAGCCGCTGATCACATCTAGCTTATCGTGAGTTTAGAGATGAACAACAAGCATATTTTCTTGTACCTAGTGATTACGATTATACGGGAAGGAAGTGGCTTATACGTGCGACCATCGACCACACCTGAATGGCAACAGTGTTCGACAACGGTGGTGCAGACTTTGTTACTTTATTCTTTGACTTTAACCAGCAGAGTCAAAATGTAACACAACGATTTAAAAACGAAAAGCGAGGTGGCACCCGTTCAAAATAAGTTTATATGAGGGATGTCCATAGAGGTTAATATACAACGTATGTCATCGCACATTATTAAATCCGTATCTTTCCGTTGAAAACAGAGTGAATAACTCTGCCGTGAGTCTAAACTGCAGCTGCAGTGATAGCCAGAATTTCTATCGTAATGTCCAACGCCAATTCGTTAGCCGGACTGCATTTTGGGGAAACAAGTCTGAGCCAAGCACCAAACCAAAATCAAAAAGAATAATTAGGCGAGACTTGCAAACTTTTACTTCGAGTGTAAGTATGTAAGCTACCCGTGATCAAATGTATGATTACAAAGACAAATGTGCTAATTCCTGCTGTCACTGCACAGAACGACGAACAAAGACAAGTTGCCAGTTACACCGAGATACGTCAGAATTTAGGGGAAAATGAGAGTGGAGATTAAAATTGTTGTGTAGCCTAGAAAATGCGGCAGAGCATGTTAAGCGACCAATTAAGAGTCAACGTGCTCGATCTGGCCATGAATACCTTAATAAGCGAATGCAGAAATCCGTCCCTCATAACTTTTGTGCGTCTAAGGTTTGCGAACGACAACTTGGTCCAGTGGGTAGCGGAAGCGAATTTGGCTATTTATGTCCTCAGGTGGCCTGCGTTCCTTGAGCACTTCAGTGCGGAAACACTCCCCATGGAGTACGGATGTCGGACAAAAGTGCAAACCAAACATCCACAAGATGAACTGGCTCTATCCGCGCGCACACAAATTGCTACTTCATTTGTTGGTGACGGCACCCCACTCAATCCGACAAACATGTTGCGTTGACAAATTTGTGCTCAGCCAGGTCCAGCAGCCATGGCCTGGGATCATTTTAATTAAACCATGCTCTGTACACCTTGTCCACTTAAGCCTACTTCCTGGGCTGTAGGCATTTCAGCGATGCACTAATTGTCTCTCGTGTGCAGTGTACTGAAAGCAAGCATTTCCTTCTATCTTTTAACACACAGCTGTCCTTATTTTGCCCACTTTGGTCAAGCACATTTTCGTTGGCCATCACCTAACCACGGTGAGGTTCTTATTTCATATATTTCAGGGTCTTTTCAACGCAAGCATAACGTTCTTTATGGGGATGCTAGCGCATATATTATTGCTTGAGATGCTGGCATACTTGAACCTCCTATTTTACGGAACGAGTTGGTTTCGGTGGACCATTTCCGTCTTGTTATACACTGTTTCACAAGTAAGTTTACGTGTTGACTATATGCAATCCATTTAAACTATTTTCACTGCAACTATTGGCTTTCGTTTGTTGCAGGTTTGTGCGCACTCTCGGAGAGGTAGTGCCTCCGTTAATGTGATGCAACATGCACATTCTATTCTTCAGTCTTTACTCACAGACCATAATGGTATGAAGAATGTGTCGAATTTGGTTAAATTTCAATATGCTGAGAGACACCTGAGAGGAAACTTTACTGTCTACTGCGTCAATCGATAGTGAACTTCTCAGACTAGTTGGTTATATTTAAGCTGGTTAATTCAAACTGTTATTACAGAAAATGGAGCGGAAAGTAACCCTGTCAACCAAATCCAATTTCTGCTAGTGCCAGGAAGGATAAATATCGTTTTTCTAACAACGCCCTTAGCGCTGTTTATACAGTGGTCTCTAAATTAACGTCTAGAAAATGAACTCACTACTATGGGATAAACCAATCTGGTCTCTATTACTAAATTATTATTAATGTGATGATTCCGAAGAGTTTACAAAACCAGTGAGTTGTGCGATCACCGGCCTTCTTTTTGAACGCCGATGACGAATATTGTCAGCTTCGTTAGTAGAGTTGTCGCATCTTGTCTACCAAGATCACTTCTCTGTTCCATGTGAGCCTTGCGGCTGCTGTTAAAGATAACAAAAGTGAGAAACGTAGTTAGAATAATCAGCTGGAAACAAAAACAATTTAGTGCAACAGCGCCTTGCGTTTACCGACTATACCATAACGAACATTGCTGCCCCCCCCCACTGATGTGGCGAACCACGAGATCCCTATCAAGACAATGGGCACGCAACAGGCTAACTAGACTTTACAGACAGGCTCCGAATGTTTCAATTCCGGATCGGTTAGGCACCATTTCGGGATCTCAGTCGAGCACAAATAAATTATCAGAGGTCCACACCTCTAACTGATATTTAGAAACTGTAGGAAAGTGATATAGTCAGGGTAGACGATTTATTCATGGCCCTTGGAGTTTACTGTCAAATATAAGGTCAGCAACCGCCGAATAACGTGCTCATTGTTCCCACCAGCCATGAGTAGTGCCACGACGACGTCAGTGACCGAAAACCAACGGTAATCGTGCCAATTCCATAAGCGCGGCATGTGCCACAACTGAACAATGAAACCCAAAATACACTGCTACTTGCCCATCACATAAAAAGGCTGTATATCGATTTCTTATGTCCAGAGGACCTTACGTCTCGAGGTTAATTACCTCCTTCCAACTTGAACAATTAGGTGCCCTGCATGCTTCAGCGTACTTGCGTATAAGATGTTCGGTAGTACATAATAGTAATTACGTATGGGCATTATAAGCCCTTCGTAGTCACCTGATTGCTCTTCTCTGTGCACATACGTTCCGACCTTTTGAAACTTGTTGAACCCAGCGTGTGGAAAGTCGATTACAGGTAGAGGTACGTCAAGGAAAATGACCCAGCTCCATGTGACCTTGCATTAGTTGTGAACGCCAGCTAACGGAATCCTGATGCCAACCACCCTGCCTACCGCCGTCCACGCCCCACACAGTCCTCACTGGCCCCCGCTCCTCTTGAGATGTAACCGAAGTAAATGCTATCTATCGTGCACCCATCCGACGGTCAGCTAGCACGGGCTCTGTTTCCTCTGTCTTCCGTCCACCGGCCCGGCGTAGAATTCCTTCAACCGAACTATCAACTGCCATTACACAGTCCTCACCACAAATATCTTAGGCATCCAAGCAGAGTGAGTATGCACACATGGGGTCGCAACGCGGTGCCGGGGCGGGCATGTGAGGGGGCATGCGACTATCTGGCAAAATCCAGGATTCATACGCAGGTCTGTGGCTGTGCACACAATCACCCGATCAATTATGGAGCACATTACTAAAGTCGGCAAACGGCGAAATCCGGTCGCATATGTGGTGTGGACGAGCCTATGACTGGACGTGACCATACAGCTAAATATGGTACGCCATAGCATATCAACAAGGCGGAACGCGTTAACGATGTATGACAGTCTATCACGGAGATCGGAGGACCACAATGTTTAAGTAGAAAGTATGTTTGGTCTATAAAGGTAGTAGCCAAGTACGGTAACCTTTTCACCCTCACCTAAACCCTTACTTTTGGTTTCCCCCTTTGTGTGCCTGTGGCATTATACTGAGTAAACCGAAAACAGCAGCAACGCAGTGAAATTATACAACAACATACCAATCTATAAGGTTATTTAAGATTCCCTCTTAAAATTTTAATTACTAAGATCAGCAGATCAGGATACCCTATTGTTAGCTACATCGTGTCTATCATAATACAGACAGTAAATATAGAACATTTCCTAATGGCGACCGATGATGAACTACGATGCAAACTTTCATTTCTACGTGTAAATTCGGGCAGTCAGTGTACCGCAACATGAGAGGGAGAACCACAGGGCCTTATGCTTTCGGTCCATAGACTAATGGTGACGTCACTCCGTGAGCCTTCAACACTTGCAGAGGTTTTACTACTCTTCAGATGCTTGGTAGCGCCGGATCTAAATGGGCGACCACCACACATCTTTACGTCATCTTTGCAAGTTAGCTGAGGGTGAGAAACACCTCAGCATTGAGCCGCAGTAAGAAAGATAAGCTATATTAAAAAGCAGGATACAGGTCATTACCAATTACAAACTAAAACCCGAAATAAGTATATTTATTCTATATATCATATTATGCATGGATTGGTAACTTGTGATTGTAGGGGAATCTGAATGGGAGAGGGCGGACAAAGGAATTCACAACACAAGCGTCGCTGTGATCGGCTAGTTGCTATGTCGTTGTTCTTGGGGTTCCAGCGCGGCAGTCAGAAGGCACCAACTGACGCCTAGTCTAAAGTGGGATTCATCATTCCTTTTGAGCACATCATCAATTGGCCTTCCCTTCTCTTCTTCTATCTAGGCCTCGGTCACTCAACCAAAGGTTTGCAGGTGTCAATGGGCTGGCATGCACAACGGCGCTGAAAGATTCACTCACTCTTCCTGCACCAGACACGAGATGTCTAACACGCACATTCCTCAGCTATATTTCTCTCGATCTGATGAATCAGGTTTCTCAACCGTAGAGGATGGTTGAACGGACAGCTGCATTGTAAACTCTCCCTTTCAGAGTGACATTGATATCGCGCCAGCGTCACAGTCGACGAAAATTAGCAAAAGTGCTCGAGCTTTCGTTATGCGGTTCCTTACCTCGCCTATTCCACAGACACTAGAGTAGCTGCTTATGTACTTAAAGTTTGGAACATTTAATAGGTGATTACCACCAGCAGTCAGCGCACGGGTAGGTCCTGCCAATCTTAAAGTGGGGGTTTACATTTCAAGGATGTAAAGCATAGCCTGAAATGATTGACAACCAGTTCTAATATGTTTAGTGCTGCTTCGCAAGTTTGTGTGCTGTCACAGATTAAGGCGATGTCGTCGACGTACTACAAATAAAGCATTTTACCACCTGTGTGATGCCTCGCTCTTTATAGGTCATGCCCAGTGAACAGAGTTTCTGTGACTTCATCGATGGCGAGTATAAAAGGAAGTTTGACCGCGGACACTCCTGTCTCTCACCGCTGGAGGTATTAAAGCGCAGGGACCGTTTGCCATAAGCCCTCACTCTGGCTGAACCATGAGCGTGCAGCGCTTTTATGACTGCCACACAGTTGCAGATGTATTGACAGTGTGAGTAGAGGCGCAGACTATATCAAAGAAATTCGAACTTGAGGAGTAATATAATTGTTTCACTACGGATGGCGATCTTAGTAGTCTCTTCAGCAATGAGTTAAGCTTGCCCATGCTCACATTTGACAACTCCCATTTTCAACATCACCCGAATGAAATGCCGATTGTCTTTAAAAAAATGAACTGTTTCAAGACATTAATAAAGTCCCGTTTGGGCGCCGAAACGAATGTGCTGTACTAACAGAACAGATTAAACACAGTCATTAAGACTGTCTGTATTGAGTCACCACATTCTTACTTTATTATGGTGTAATCCACAACGCATTTGTACACTTTTTTATGCCTGAAATAGTGCATTGTTTGAGGCGCTGGTAACATGCTGGCATCAATGCTCCTTTGTTAAAGGTCACTGGATAGGGGGAACATGAAGTGGTCTACTACTATTATTTCACTTGGCTGTTCAGTCCGTTAGGTCTAACACTGCAAAAATATTTTAATGTTCGCTCATTTCAAAAATGATGAAATGCTGCGAGTCACCGCATTTAGCCCAAACTCGGGGCGATCAACCGTCTTAACCCTTGGGTAAGGTAATTCGATTACAGCTGTATGCGTTGGGCTCTGTTGGCCTACGAACGCATTTCCCGCAGCTAAGTAGGCTTCTCGTTCCTGATCCGGATTGAGGAAAAACTGCACAAAATAATGATTCCGAGGCCAAATCCACCGCACCGAAACCAGTAGAATTGCAACTCCAGATTTTATCATACCTCGTCACTATACGAGAAGCAGAGGAGTTTTACGGTCATCGCAAGGAGCTTACATTTTAAATTCTAACCCACCAACCTCAGGGGCTGTATTGGCCTGAAACATATCTCCATCTAACAATGGCTGTAAGCAAGCAACCATAATCTTCCACCGTCTAGTCTCTGCGCGAGTACGCGTGAGTGGCATCGAAATAAACCTTGAGATTTCACCTCCTGAAAGTACCGTTGAAGTCGCCGCAGCCTGAAACGGCGCTTTTCCGTGTTAGACGAAAAATAATTCAGTTGAACCGTCGGAGTTGTAGACACAATTTTCGTAGCCAATCATCAGGAGACTACCAGTTGCCTACTGCTTTTATTCTATAGCTTGGAATCACTCCGCCTGAACTCGGTATCTGTAATTTGGACTTGCTCGTGAAGTAAGCTCACAAAACAACTTAACTGGACGGTTGTTCGACCTCCCATATTTTACTAATTGTAATGGCCACCTAAGTCAGCACACACGCTACGCAACACAACACACAAATGCT